ACGTTCTGTCAAGTTAACAACTCTGCTTTCTATATTATTGAATCTAGACAAAATAACAATCTTATTATTAGTGTTTGAAAGATTTTCAGACGTATAGAAGAAGTTGTTCGAAATTATTGTAGATAAATCATTATTAGCTCTCATAACCCTATCCAAGTTAACAGAAGTCTGAGAAGATTGGGAATGAGTTGAAGGAGACAATGACCTATGTTTACAGCATCTAGCGAACGACCCATCAGGCAAACATGTGCTTAATAGCTGCCACATAGTTATAAAATTCTAATCCTAATTATAAACTTTAATTCCAGATTGTTCACTTGATTATGCCAGACCTTTGATAGAATGTCTCGGAAGAAAAGGAATTAAAACTTCCTTACAAACTGGTTCCGGTGCAAAACTAATCAATGCTCTCAAAATTGAAAGACACCGAGTAGCCGCTGTTGTTCTTCTAGACAGACTAAACTTCACTGACAGTGAAAATATACTTAACGTGGTACATGATTTATATATTTATACAACTTTATTTTACTAGAAAGTCCATTTTTTAGTATTTAATAATATCCACGGTTTTTTTAAATATTAACCGACGTCTGTTTCTCTAGGCCTCTAATAAATTATTATTTAACTATTATATTTCCTGGTTAATGGTGACAACTAATGAGGCGAGTACAGTTATTGATGCCGTCCTTCGCAATTTAAAGATCGGAATTGATAGTGACATAGTAGTAGCTTCCTCATTTCTTTCACCAAACGAAGATGCTGACCTCATCCATAATTTTAAGAATAAGTAATTTTGAAAATCATCAAAACTAATTATATACTTGTAGGTACTTTATAATAACCTTTTATACCATACTTCAGAACGTGTCCATCTCTTCTGAAATTTAAAAAACACCATAGCCAATTCAAAAGAGTCAAGCATTCTAAAGTCTACAACGAAGATAAACCTTCATTAAAAACTAATTTCGAATACATATCACCGGAGAATAAAACGATGGCTTTTTATCTTGCACACGTTTACAAAATACGTCGAAATGAAAACGCTAGCATGCAAGTAGATCCTCTTGGAGCTTGGGATCCTGAAACTCAACATTTAAAAACACCACTTGGCGTTAAATTGAGAACGAATTTTTATGGGTATCCTATCAAAGTTGGTATTCATAATGGTACAAAGGATGTGAAAACAGAATTAATAAGTAATGAGGAAACGAATGATATTGAACCACTTTTAGATTTTATGAAAATAATTGCAAACACCTGTAATACAACGTAAGAAAGTTTTCATTATTGGAATTCCTTAGCCAAAAATGTAATGCGTTGAGATATTTTTGGAAATAATTTAAGTTTATCTATCATACAGAGTTGAAGTAACGGCATTCGAAAAAATAGGGACAGTGACTAATAAAGCATGGAGTGATTTGTTGGGAGAAGTTGTTTCTGGAAATGTGGATATCGGTGTTGGTTATATAACTATCAGTAGCGAGAGACAACAAGATATGAGTTTTAGTTATCCACTAGTGAAATCAATGTAATAATAATCCCAGTGGGCATAGCAACATAGGTTATTGCCTGTTGAACACGAGACATTTTTAAGATTTTCTTTAAGAAGATATGGACGTTCCAAAGATGTCTTTAAGGCAATTAGGCAACCTATATTTCTATACTTTCTTGGATAATTTATTCCAATCGTACATTATACATTTATTATTCCCTTTACCTATTCAACCGACTACTATTTAAATTCTGAAGCAAATTTACTTCAATGTACTTTTAAAACAAAATTCATCGTTAAATAATTAGTTTTGAGGGGAAAGTGTACGCGTTTTTTTTTAATTTACAGGAGGAATGTTTACTATGCTCCGCCTTTCTATGGTACCATGAGGGACATATTTTTACAGCCTTTTAATTACCGATTGCTTCTTTGCGTCGCTGGCACAGCAGTAATCATTGTGGCCTCCATGGAAGCTACAAATTATTTTGTTAAAGAAGTTTTCCGTAACTTGCAAGAAAGAGAGGCAGAACTTGGCGAGGCGACACTTTGGTGTTTAAGTATTATGTGCATGCAAGGTAAAAACGTAAATTGATCTATTAAAATTAAAGTCTATTGCAAAATTCTGTTAACACTTACAGTTTAAACGATGAGACCTTTAATGGAAGTAGAAATAGATTTAGTAATAACCTGTATTCTTATGAACAACAAATACCTCGACACAATAACTTGAAAAATTTAATTTTTTCTAAAATGCTTAATGATTCAAAATTGTGCTTATTGTCAAATTAGCCTCCGATTTTTAACAATAGGTCTCCCTTTTGAGTAGCTCTTGCTTCTACAACCTTTATGTGACTGACATCTGGATTAACTTCTTTGCGAATTTTACCCAAAACGTGGGCATACATCTTTCCTTGAGCTACTCGAATGACCATAGTCGATGCTCTCATCACTGCCTTCATAGTTTTTGTACGTGGTTCCTTTGCTGCCTGCGTCGCATATCCACACATCACCCTTGTCAGCTTCTGCATGCTTTGACTTCTCTTTTTAACGAGGTTCTCTTTTCAAATGACTGCTTCGAATTTTAGAAACGCATTAAAAGGAATAGAACTTTTGACAAACAATTTGAAAAAGCCTAATCTTTCCAATTATTTGTAGGAGCTTCTCTAGTTATTGTCTTAAAATAAAACGCAGTGACAGCTATTTTTCGCGTCGTGTGAATTTCATTGTGATTTCAGTGCTAAATTATTAAAATGAAATATTAAAACTAGTGAAAATATGGTTAAAAACGCACAGTGCTTACGATAAAATAAAAAATTCTCTTATTGACATAAATGAAAGAAATTTTCAAGTGTTCAATGTTTAACGTCAAGTTTTTAAAACCTAACCTTTTTGTCAAGTGAAATATTGAGTGATAGTAATAAGCAATGCAGTGAAATAGAAATTTCTACTGATTTGTTGTACTCTCTCACTTTTTTGAATGCGCGTTTCATATTTTGGTGAAGTCAATTAAGAATAATAGATTTTGCTCCTTTTCCTTGCTCCACCGAGGAATTGGATTATTTTGGAAATTCGCTCATTCAAAAGAAATGAACTTCTGAATTCTTTTCAATTCCTCGCTTCTTACCGGGATGACATTCTAAAGACTAAGTACCCTATGTATGATTTTAGGTTCTCCATGGACACCAAAAACCTTATCGGGGAAAACTGTACTTCTATGTAGTTTATTTTTTGCCCTGGTCATCTACAATGCATACTCTGGTTTTATAACTTCTATTCTTTCTGTTCAACATAACGGTATCAGAACTCTTGATGACCTACTGCAGTATAATTCTTTTAAATTAGGATACAGTATCAATGAAGATGAATACATTCGGGTACAGTATATTTAAATGGAGTCATTAATCTCAGCAATAATAGTCATTAAAACCTAATGTTTAATTATTACCTTTTAACCATTAACAGAACTACATTTTTTCTGTTTAATTTGATACGCAGGTTTCTAATGATTCCAACCTTCGAAAATTGTATATCAAGGCATTTGATAACCGCGAATCACGATTGGAGACAATTGTTGGTATTGAAAAGGCGATTAAAGGAAATTATGGATTTTTTGTTGGAGCTGCTGATGCAAGAAAAATACTTCAAAAAACTTTAATCCCAAATCAGTGTAATTTAAAGGAATTACAAATTGAAAAGACTTTTTCTTTTGTTGCTCTTCCAATGGCACGCACATGTCCATACAGAAAGATTATAAATTTAAGGTAATCCATATTTTTTTGTAGACATAAGTGAGAATCTGCAAAAGTTCAGGTGTCTGGATAAAATCCAAAGGTAGGTGGGGATGATCGCTCTTGTTCCGCTTGACACACTAAAAGACACTCCCGTCTTTAACTGGACTTATCTTCAAATTACGGAACTACCTTTCGGCTTTAAACTTTGCTGGTGAAGGTCACTTCTGGTCCCTTACGCGATCTCACCATGCCGTTCTTGTTCTGGCCTTACTTGTCCTTAGTTCTTGCCACTGTCTTATAAGCCACCTCGATGGTCGGCCTAAAGAGTCGAAGAGTCGGCATCCTCCACTGCCAGCGACGTGGCTTCCGCTTGCTCTATCTCCATACTTTTCCTCACATAGAAAACAACTTGGGCTTCTTTTACAGTTCGCTAGCTTATGATCGACTTCTCTACACTTGAAACACAAAGTCGATCTGTTTGCCGCCTTACAAACTGATCCTATGTGACCGCATCCAAGACAACGATGGCATCATACGACCATACACTTTCTCCTAACTAGGCAGGTTATAAATCGAATCTTGATGTGTTCTAGTTTCTCCAGCTGATTCCGCTTCTTTCTGGTCGGTGACCATAATATAGCGACCTTCTTTCCTCGCATATTTATTTGGTCTTAAGACAGTCACCTTCCTGCTTTTCTGCTTCTCGAGAACATCTTGCAGCCTCTGCTACACCTCATCATCCTGGGCAAGGCAATCCAAGTCGTGGACCTAAAGAGTAAGTCTTTTCTTCGCCTATGCCTACTGTACCCTCAGCGTATGCTTTGCCTTCTGAGACCTAGATCAAAATCGTTGATCTTTTCGTTTCACTTTTTTGTAGAAAGTGTCTAATTAAAGGTAATCAAAATTAGAATATAACTTCTTATCTTCTTAATGGCCTTTGCTGAAAAACCTCCTACTACACCAACATTTATCAAGAATTTCCATAATTATTGTGGGTGGACCGCACCTATTAGCTTTGCTAATATTAATGGTATGATAATTAGAGAAATGAACAGGTAATCGAACAATAGAGTGAACTTTATTCTCTAGCATCCTTGCAAAAATTTACCATATACTATTCAATAAGCATACATACGTAAATTTAATAAAGTTTCCAAAATCAGAAAATTCTAAAATTTGTTCATTTCCGTCTGTCTGTGATTACAATAGCAGTAGAATCATGACCTTTATAAATATACTAATTTATTGCTCATTTCTCAAATACCACCATCTATAGTTATTGTATCAATTACTTCAACTTCCGTAACACTACTTGCTAACTGCATTAGTTGCATCAATAATTTCTTCTTAAAAGTATTTTCGATGCAAATGATGATAATGTTAAAATTTTTTTGCAGTATTTTTCGAAATCTCGAAAATGGAATATTGGACAGAGTTAAAGAAAAGATGTTACCTGAAATGCCCAAATGCACCGAAAATTCATGTTTCAATAGTGCAAGTCTTGTGGATGTATATACTGCATTTGGTATTCTTTTTGTGGGAATGATTATCTCTTTAGGACTTTGCATACTTGAAAGATTGTGGAATAAAAGAACAATTGTTCAAGAAAAAATTATTCGCAGCATTCATGTACATCGAAAGGACAATCATCGACATTCGGAACATGTAGAACATCATCGTTCATCACACATTAGATGGCCACTTCAAAAATCACCGACCGGTTTAGCAACAATTTCCAATCATCTAGAAACTAATGTGCAACTTACAGATTCACAGGCTCAGTTGTCGAGGAGAAGGAAGAAAATTCAGCAAAATGACATGTTAAATTATGAGGGTAATCCGGATGCAAATCTGATTATTCCTTTCCGGTTATAAGTTAAAAGTTCTATCCCACTCGCGGGTTGTCAAATTATATATTAACGTCAATAATTTATTTGTACCATGCAACTCTAGCTCTTTTTGTCTACTAGCAAAACAAAAACTTAATATTCGTTTAGCTTATGATTTTTTAACTACTGATATGGAGGGAAAAAACGCCTCTGAAAGCATGGTCCTAAATGCAGATATAGGTTCCCAATGAAATGGAATTTCCTGAAGGATTAATTAGAAAAACTCATAACTTTCTAACTCAGGATTAAAAGATTATTAAATTTTGAATTATTTAATATATTTAAAAGCTGGGACTTAACAGGATCATAAGTTTCATTTTAAATTAAAGAGCAAAACATTATCAACAAATGACGTCAGAGTAACTGTTGTAAATATAACATTAAAAATTAAATTGTCCTTGAATTTTCTTATCACACGAACGAGTTTCACAAAATTGGTAAGTAGATACAACTATGCATTTGATAAGAATTCACTAGACTTGCTAAAAAATATTTATATGTATTAAAAAGTAGAAGTCAATAATGAATAATGAACATAAAGGCTGTTGTTTTATTAAGCATATTGAGAATTGAAAAAACCTAGTTTCGTATTGCAAATTATTTTTTATTTGTATTACTGTAATTAGTACGTCGAGTTTTTTTTTGCTTTCAATAGAAAAAATTCTTCGTACTCACTTCTAAATAAATTAAAAACTGTTTTTTTCTACATTTCTTGTATTTCTAGAATTGATATACATAGTTATTTTACTGCTATTTCCATTTCAGCTCTGCTAAAATTTTAACATGAGCTTCAAAATCTTCTGATGGGTTACTATCCTTTCGATGATAATTTTCTGTAATTCTTTTGCAGTCTCGAAAAAATGTCGTGTCATCCCTGAAGTTAATTAAATTAAAGGCTAGATTAACTGTAATTGTTTTTATAGGTATAAATTAAAATAATTATGTCAGAGGTTCCTCAATTATTAGAAATCTTGACAGAACTGTTTCAGGACATCTTGTAAAAGTTCTAAGAATATCTGAGGACTTTTGGAAATTAAGATATCTGAGGTTATCTTAATCATATTATAGATATTCAGTTTAACTGACAAAGATGATTAAAATCGTTTTTTTAATCGAGAATGTGAAATTTTTCAGAAGCATAAGAAACCTTTTGTTATAACACCATACCACCTATTGTCATCTTTGGAACGGTCATCTTTGGAATTTTCATTATACATACCTGCATAAAATTGTCGATAAATCTTGTGGCGCTGGATTATCACCTGCACCATTGCACCATCTTTGCCAACGTTCATACAGTCGCATTGGTGTCATTTCATCAAGATAGTGATGACACTTGTCTCTTAAACTAATTAAAATTGACGTTTTCATTCAAATTCCGTTTTAACTTTGTAGCTACGAATTATTTAATTTTATACTTACTGTTTCTCCCAAAGACCATCAGCAGATGATGTAACCAGCGTTGCACCAGGTTGTCGATCGCAAATCTGATAATTTCCATTAAGAAAACGTAGGCTGAAACTGCAAGAAACAATTTTCAATATTTCTAAATAATCTTTTCTTGTTAAAAGCTAAAAACGGTTATTACATTTTGAATATCATAAACAAAATTAAAGATGAAATATCTGGGTGAATCTCTCAAAAAGAACAAATTCTAAATTGCAATTAAAAAAAAAAAGTTCCAAAAACATTAAAATGACTATTCCTATGAGAAGAGGAGGACTATAGTAAGTCTCTAAAATATGTGGTTACGATCTTTATAAACATTATTGTTTAAAAAATAATTGTTTATTGTAAAATAATTGTTTAATTTTTGGTCGCAAATACAATGAGTGAATTGGCTTGAAAATGGTTACTCTAGGGTTTTCGAGGTCGCTGATTACGAATCTAAGAACAGAATTCAAAAATTCAAAATGGCGGATCCAATATGGCGGATGAATTTTAAAAAAATTGTTTGATTTTAATGAAACTTGGTATCTAGGGGTTTTTGGGGTCGCTGTTTACAAATCTGTTGTTATTTTTTTAAAATTCAAAATGGCGGATACAATATGGCTGATAAAATATTTGAAAATTAATTGGATTCTCTTAAAACATGTTACTCGGGGGTTTTTGGGGTCGCTGATTACGAATCTGCGGTCATAATTCAAAAATTTTTAATGGCAGATCCAATATGGCGGTCAAATTTTTAAAAATTAATTTTATTTCGTCCGACATTTTGGATCCGCCATTTTGAATTTTAAAAAACTAACATTAAATTCGTAATCAGCGACCCCAAAAACCCCCGAGTATCGAAATTTAAGCCATTTTACTAAATTCTAAAATATTTCGTCCGCCATTTTGGATCCGCCATTTTTAATTTAAAAAAACTAACATTAAATTCGTAATCAGCGACCCCAAAAACCCCCAAGTAATGAGTTTTAAATTTATTTATCATTTATTTAGCAAAAAACGAAAAAAGTACTGCCGGTTACGGAATGGAGTTTTTGCTCCCTTGGACTACGCTTAAATTGGTTACTTATATATTAAAAAATTTTCTAAACTTTTAATTAAAACGTTAAATGTCGTTAATTTTTATAAAAATAAAAAATTATTCTAAGAATTATTAATAAAAATTTTCATTTACTTTCCAAAAAAAGGAAAAGCCATACTGGCGGTAACGGAATGGAGTTTTGTTAATTTCGATAGCTCCAAAAAATATATTGATTCTAATGTAAAAAGATAAAATTTTATTAACAAACAATCAATAGTATTTGCTATATTTCATTCAAATAAAAGAATATTTTATAAATTAATTATAATATTTATCATTTACTTAAAAAAATTTAGAATTTACTGCGGTAACGGAATGGAGTTTTCTTTCTGTCGATGCCGACTTCTCAACTGAAAATCTCATTTATACTGAATATTTTCTTTTCTTTCATCCTAATTCGCACTGATCTTCAATCACACTAGTATTCTAAATATTATTTACCTCTGTATTGCTCCCCTAATATGTTTGTTTATCTTTAATATTTATATTTGTGACCGGTAACGGAATGGAGTTTTTAATAGCGCACAAAACTAATTTAATTCTAAAAAATAGAATTTGAAATATTTTGCCTTACGTTTTCCGGATTTAAGTAAAATAAAGAATAATTAATAAATATTACTAAACAACAGATGAAATTAAATTTTAAATGGGAAGTAATATTCATTCTTTGAGTAAAATTAGCTTCATGCACGGTAACGGAATGGAGTTTTTGCACCATATGAATATGGATATTTCAGATAATATAAAATTTTTAATTTTTTTCTCATATGGCCTGATTAAATCGTGTTAAATACTATCATATGACCGCTATTATTTTTATTAATTTTAAATATTTTTTAGAAAAATGTCTTGAACGTGTCATTTGTCCTTTTTGAGAGATTCACCCATCTCCTAATTGTAAAATTCAAAAATAATTATGTACTCAACGTAGTTAAGGTAAACTTAGTAGAACTAATTTTATCAGAGAAGGAAAATTAATTTAAGGAAAGTATAAGATAATTATGTAAAGGGAAAAAAATTACTGTTTAAATGAGTCGTTGCAAATTGTTCTTAAAAGATTAGAGATTTCAGTTTCACTAAGCCAGAGAAGTGGTATCATTGATTCGTGGATGTCAATCAGTGTTTGATTAATCTGTAAAAAAAATTTAATTTTAATTAAAACTGATAGTATAGTAAACTAAAAAAATAAATAATTTAACAATAATAATATAAAATATAGTTGTGATAATAGTAATAATAGAAACAATAGTTGTAATAATAGTAAAATAATAATATCAATGGTAGTAATTACATGTATTAATAGTAGTAATGATAACCACGTTGACAAATTCTATGAAAGTACCCCCTGAAAATTCCATGGAAATTCTGCAAGCTCTTTATTTTAATATTATTTTAACATTTCTATTATATTATTACAACTTAATGATAAGCATTGTTGCAATTTATTTGTAAAACTGAAATACGCAACCAGCGTCGTTTTTCAAGATATAATTTTTTTTTGATTCGGAAGTAAATTCTAAAAATGTTTTGTGTACCTCCGTGTTTCGAAAAAAGCTCTTCTTTAATTAAAAACATCTAATTTGATGGATGAAAAAAGACCAAATTTGATAATCGCCTCCAAAAATTGTAAAAAAAAATTGTCAAGACCAGCGTCGTTTTTTAAGAAATAAATTTTTTCTGATTCGAAAGTATATAAATTCTAAAAATGTTTTGAGTACATTCGTGTTTCCCAAAAAGCTCTTCTTTAATAAAAAAAGCTCCAATATTATTAAAAGAAAAAACTTGCAGAACTTTTATGGAATTTCCAGGGGTTACTTCTATGGAATTTTTTGATGTGGGAATAATAATAATAATAAAAATAAAAATTTTAATAATAATTGCATAAACCTGCTGAGCAATGGCAAGACACATTCCACATCTCATGCAAGCTGATGAAAGATTGACATCAATAGTACCACACGAATTGGAAGAATGTGTAGTTGACTGATATGGAATTTTTTGAACAAAATTCTTTTCCAGATTATTGCAATTATAATGCGGATCAATATAATTATTTTCAATTTGCATTTTATCAATTTCTAAATTTTGATTTTTTGTTTCCCGCACGTTACATCCTTTTCTATTTAATTGATATCGAAATTTTCCAGAGGATTCAACTTCTTCAAATGAAATTGTGAGGAATAAAAATATTGTTAATACTATTAGAAAAAATTTCTTCAATATAAATGTCATGATATAAAATGACATAAATATTTATACAGGTTAACAGATAATTTTGTTTTCGTTAATATACATATGTATACATATATATAATACTAGTGAAACAATACGTAATGAGGTTAATATACATAAACATTTTAGGATAATTAAATATTTGCCTGAGAATATATTAATTATCTAATATTGATTGAGAAATAGGGGAGCGTGGGGTAATGGGAGCTTTTAAATTTCACGTACTTAAAAGCCTTCAAATTCGCTGCAATGTTCAGAAAATCTTCTACAACCTTTGTTTATATCATTCCAAAACAAACTATTACATTCTTGACAAATTTTTAGTAAAAACAAGGGAAAATGTATTTTTTGAGTTTTCGTTGTAAAATGCAAAATATTCCTAAACATCACCAAAAGTAGTTAAAATCGTATTATTTAGTTCTGTTTTTTCATTGTATTATTAGGTGAATATGTGTAGATATGTATACTTGTCTAAAAATCGAGATAATAATATAATTTGTTTATGTTTTTATTTTTTTATTCAAATTTTGGCCTGTAAGAATTCTGTGGGGTAATGGGAGAAATAGTGTCAGCCCAAAAAATTTTCGTTACTATGTTACGGCTTTCGTTATTTTTTTGAAAATTGTAAAAGATATCACCTTATGAACAAACTTTTAATTAAAAAATAATTTTTGGTGGAAAAAATAAAAAGTTTATTTTTTTTTCAAAAATTTTGTATTAAAAAATAATTTAGGAAAAAATGTATTCTAAGTCTAAAGTTTTGGCTTCATTGTAAGTATTAACACTTTTTTCTATTAGAAAACAAAAAATATTCCTAAAAAATAAAAATTTTTTAAATTTCAAGTGAAAGCTCCCAATACCCCACAAATTGGGTGATCGCAAAAAATGTATTTTTTTTGAAAATTTTTTTTTACAATTTGCTTTCTCTTTTTAAGTTTCTAATTAAACATAATTAAAGATGAATAACGAAATGAGTAGAAAATGACGAAAACATTTAGAGCTGTGCAAAATTCGAACCGAACCGAGTTTTGTTCGGTTTTGGGGCACCGAAATGTCGAATGTCGAATATTCGACATCCGAACTGGGCTAGTTCGAATGTCGAATATTCGACATTCGAACTAGGCTAACTCGAATGTCGGTTTTTCGACATTCGAACTGGGCTAGTTCGAATGTTGAATATTCGACATTCGAACTGAGCGACTGAAATGTCGAATTTTAGAATTCGACATTTTAGCGTACTAAAACCGAACACAACCCGGTTCGGTTCGAATTTTGTAGTAACTCGAATGTCGAATATTCGACATCCGAACTGGGCTAGTTCGAATGTCGGTTTTTCGACATTCGAACTAGGTGAAAAAATTCGAACAGTTCGGTTCGAATTATTTTGCACAGCTCTAAAAACATTGTATTATTGTAAAGATAAGTTGGTTTTTTTAATAATTTTCCTTAAGGGGCTCCAATTCCCCCACGCTCCCCTACTAAATATTGCAAATATTAAAAATGTTTTAAATTGCTAATATTGTATTTTTAAATGTTACATTTAGTGAATATTGTAATTTAAATTCATTTCATTATAATAATAATTCATTTCATTCATTAAATTCATTTCATTTTCATTTCATTTCGCTGTGTAGCTATATAGTAAATAAATTTTTTTAACAATAATGATATTAAGATTATATAATAGGTACTATTCTGAATTTTTATTATATTATTATTATTATTATTATTTTTTTTTATTTAAAAATACGATCATTTA